GCGTTCGACCAACAAGATACAAACTTGAAGAAAACAGAATCATATAAGCACATCAGGTTTCATAGAGCCAAAACATTTCAAGTGCTACTCAACTGGTTTTAGATAAGCCAGTCCTTTATTAGTATATAAGTGCTTTGTTAGCAATTATTTGTTAGTAATTCTATTGATCGAAGTGGAGTCGAAAGAGATGAGTTTTCAGTCTCCCCCTGGATGTAGGAAGGGCCAGATCCATTCACAGCATGGTACGCAAGTACCATTGTCTTGAAGTGGATTCTAGCAGTTACTGGAAGCCAGTGAAGGGAGCGGAGGAGCGGCGGAGCGGCGTGGTGTGGGAAGATTTAGGAAGGTTGAAGACCAGACCAGTTTGTGTACAAGGAGAAGAGGAGGGGACCAAGAACAGAGCCCTGAGGGACCCCTGTAGTTAATTGACATGGGTCGGACTCTGACCCTTTCCAAGTTACCCTGTAGGTGCGGTCTTTGAGGTATGAGGTGAGGAGGGAAAGTGCAGAGCCTGAAACTCCAAGTTATTGGAGAGTACGAAGGAGGATCTGGTGATTCACCGCGTCGAATGCAGCAGACAGGTCCAAAAGGATGATGACAGAGGAGAGGGAGGCTGCTTTAGCCGTGTGCAGTTCCTCAGAGACAGCAAGGAGGGCAGTTTCTGTTGAGTGACCTGCCTTGAAACCAGACTGGTTATCACTGTAAAATCTTTGGCTGATATGTGTTTGGATGTATATAATTATGTTTGATGTTTTATCTCCTGCAACAGATTATAAGAATGCATTTTTGATAACTTTCCATGGTTGTAACATCCTCCGTCATAGTATTTTAAATTAACTGTGTAGTTTCTGTCATCTTATAAGCCTTCAAAGTCATGGATTTATTACTCATCCGTCCTTCCTGGATAGTTATTCATCGTCGCTCTGAGGCAACACGCCCACACAAACGCAACACCCTGCGGTTCTATTTTTTAGTCTGAACGCCTTTTACTTGGCATTAAGTTCATCAAGTTACTCATCGGCTTAATACCTGGATTTGATCACGGTTGTAAATGTGAGCAGATGTTTAGTTGATAGTTCAATTTCTTGTTTGTTTTTTCCCTGCAGATCAGAGACTGGACCTGAATAAGCTGGGCCCGAATGACAATGATACTGTGAGAGGTCAAATAGTTGGTAAGAATTCCAAACACGTTTAAAACATTATCATTGTTATGGAAAAGGAAGTTAAGTGAAAGATATAACTATGCATAGTCAGTCGGTGTGTTACATGTTCCAGATGCTCTAGTCTACATTCAGTGTGCCAATACTATAAAAAAAAAAGCTCAGATGGACACGCTTAGTCCAGTCCCAGAGCTTTTGTCCACTGCATATTTACTGTTTAAAACTCTGATTAAATTAACAGCTGGAAGACATCAATGGGACTACTCCCTTACATTTGACTAGGTTTTAAAATATGTAAGTGCTCATTTATTTTGCAAACAGCTAATTCATCTTCAATTAGGTATCATTTTTCAATCTATTCATTTTCAGTATTTGAAATCGAGGTCAACAGTTAAGGCCAAATACAATACATGGATCATCTGTAAGATTCATTTGAGACGATAATCATCACTGTCAAGTTGTTCTAGTCAAAAATCTGGTACAAACATTGGGTTTTGATTAGTTGCCGATTCATATTTTAAATTCTAGCGTGCATAAAGGCTTGAAACCTTTTTGTGGACGCATATAATGACCATTCCCATGACCTACTATGTTTCATAAGTTGCATAAATGTTTGGGATTGATACCATCTGTTACACAAATGTGCTGCAATTGAAAATAATACTACAAAATCCCTCAGAAATTCCACATTAAGACACTAATACCAAGGAACATCATTAAAATTCATGCTGTGATTTGGTATTAAGAACCGATGGCACAAGCTTTAACACTGCTCCTGCTAAAGCCTCGGAGAGACACTAATGTCTATTTAAAAGATGAATACAATATGATGGAGTTATTATTTGAGCGAAACTCTATGGGTAAGAGCATCTGATTGATCTGCAGTCTTCCTTGTCTTGGTTAACTGTGCAGTAAGTCTTCAGTCCAGAGATCGCATCGGGACAGGAGGGCCGGTAGTGGACTGCAGCCGCTTGTTCGACAACGACCTGCCTGATGGGTTAGTATCATCAAAGCTTTTCCTTTCAAATGACTTATCCTATTTGTGCACACAGTAGTAGCTTGCTTATTCTCAAAGTCCTCCATTTTCCTGGGAGCTGTCTGGATTCAACTCTTTTAGAAGCATTTCTTTAGTGAAGTAATCTATAGTTGAGAGGATTGTGTTGGGGCAGGGGGGTAGTTTTTCTTTGATTTTGTGTGCATTTAAAAGGATACATTCTTTTTTAAATGCATACAAAATCAGTATTGGTATGCAATTCATTTAGATGCTGAACAGTGTGTGAACAATATTACTATCCTCCCTGTGAAGCTTTTGTCTTGTGTGTAAAGAGAAATGTCTTTCTTATTACTTATGTTTGCTGTTAAGCCCCTTTTTCTAAACATTATATAATCAAATTCAGCAACATTTTTAGTTTTTTTGATTGTCTTTTCTAACCCTTTGTCTTAATATGTCATGAAACAGTTGGGAAGAAAGGAGGACGGCCTCTGGGAGGATACAGTACCTGAACCACATCACACGTACCACGCAGTGGGAGAGACCGACCAGGTACAACTACACACTTCTTCATCCAGGGCTTTAAATACTACACACTTGAACTTTTAATAACAAAGCATCAGGGGTCTCTGTAAGTGGTTGTACTTTTCCCAACTTCGCCTTCCAGAAGGAAAGAAATGTTCACTAAGCCCAACTCCCAACACAACAATAACAGTCTGTCGTAACGAGTGAATTGCTGACAACTTCCTTAGCCACACGCACACACGAACACCTCTAAGTATGCTAGCCAGCCAGTCGGGCAGCTAGGTTTTGCTTGGCCCCTGTTCCTGCTGGAACAACTGTCGCCTTCCTACTTGGCCCATATCAGTGGAGCCGTCAGGGGAGTAAGCAAACAAATAACGCCACCCACACACGTCACCTGTCACTGGTCCTGACTGACGACAAATATAATCTGTTCCAGAGTTTAGAAATAATAATCCATTAATCAGTTTAAGGTGTATGTGGGTGGAAATGTCTCAAAGACTGGGAATAAAAAAGAGTGAAAGCACCTCTAAAGTAAAGAAGCAGGGTTACTTGGAGGGAGAGGTAGGATATTAGTGGAGGGGGAGAAAAAGGAAATAGGAGGAAGGAAGAGTGTGTGGAAGGGGGAGTGGGTGGGCTGTGGGTTGACGGACAAGGGTCCAAGGTTTTAGATAGCCAAGGCGTCAGTAACTCTGGACAGCCAGACAATGCACACACACACACACACACACACACACACACACACACACACACACACACACACACAGACAGATACATTATGTGTCGGCCTGTCTATGTCTCCTTAACACACCAAAGATTCTACTGTAGTCTTTGGAGGACTTTCTGTTTGCTTTTATGCAACCCTTAATCCTTCAAATCACTTTAATCTTAAGCATAACCATGAAATACATTTTTCATTTTGAGGACTGATGACACAGCTGTTCCACAATAATTACCCTACACCAGTGTGTATGTCTAGACATCACAAGTGCAGATAAACTGGCTGCACCTTTGACTTAACCCAAAGCACCTTTAACACAGAAACACACTTCTTTCACCCTCCACACCCAGCTTCCTGCAAGGAGAGGAAAACATGGCCCATAGTCACACAGTGCATCCAAGGAATCAAAAATAAAACGTTCAATTCTGCTTCTCAATTGATTTTTTCTGTTTTATGTAGTACATTGAGTTCATGTTTTCCCCAATTTGTTACAAAATGTATGATGCATTAATATATATCAGGAACATTTCTTTGAAAATAGACTAAACTCCATTTACATGAAACACTCTCCGCTCTTTCCCAGGCCAGCGTCGGAGTACTCCAGCCCCTCAGGGCGTCCTCTGAGCTGTGTGGTGGACGAGAACACGCCGGTGATGACGCCCGTCAACGGGGCTGAGGCGAGCGTGCCGCAGGGCGTACAGCGGGTCCAGGAGAGACGGGTTCGATCTCAGCGGCATCGCAACTACATGAGTCGAACACACCTGCATACACCCCCTGACCTGCCTGAGGGTTATGGTGAGAGACACACACACACACACACACACACACACACACACACACACACACACACTGCCTGGTACGTACGGCGACACCATGATAAAAGACACACAAATTTGCAATAGCTGTGACCATTTACTAGGGCCGGGACTCGATTAAAAAAATTAATCTAATTAATTACAGGCTTTGTAATTAATTAATCGCAATTAATCGCATTTTTAATCGCATATAAATATTTGACCTAAGAACAGTGAGAAGCAATTTTTTTCACATGGATTTTAGTATACCATTGAATAATGACTGAATACATCAGCTTAAGCAACAAAACATTGTTTATTTTTATCAAGGAGGTTNGTTATTTAAAAAACATGATAATTACTATAAAAATGTATTTTTATTATTTATTTTCCTGTAAAAATTACGATCTTTTTTTTACAGTGTACCTAGCACCTAGTTTTGATGTATGTTTTTTAGGGCCGGGACTCGATTAAAAAAATTAATCTAATTAATTACAGGCTTTGTAATTAATTAATCGCAATTAATCGCATTTTTAATCGCATTTAAATATTTGACCTGAGAACAGTGAGAAGCAATTTTTTTCACATGGATTTTAGTATACCATTGAATAATGACTGAATACATCAGCTTAAGCAACAAAACATTGTTTATTTTTTTCAAGGANCAGTGTACCAGAGGGAGTCACACACAGCTGTGCCTAGATAACCAAACAAATTGACAACAGGGATGCAAACTCATCAGGTATGAAAAAGGTGACAAGGATCCGAGCCCCCTGACCCCACAGAATATCGGCTTTAAAATTAGGAATAACAGAGGATTTTAGCAGTCAGAACAACTAAAGCAGCAGTGTTAATATTAACAGAAACGCCAAAGAGTCACATCTAATAGAAATATATAAAAGCATTTATTTTAATTGTGTAGCAGTCAGTTTATAATTTTGGCAGCACTGTTGAGCATTTTGAAAATTCATTTTCATGCCTCTGTGCAAGGCTTAGTCTTTCTATCTTTATAGCCACTGGTGTAAAGTAAGTTCATAAACTCAACAAGTACTATAATTGGGCACAATTTTGAGATACTTGTACTTTACTTAAGTATTTCAATGTTTTGCTACTTTGTACTCCTACTCCACTACAGTTCAGAGGTAAATGGTGTACTTTTACTCCACTACATGTATTTAATCCCTTTAGTTACTTTACAGATGTGGATGAATGATGTGAATATAATCAAGTGTTAAATCAGACTTTAGTTCTATACAAAGTCCTTCAAACTAGCTGCACCTTTACCAGCTTTGAGAACACTTTAATGATCAATCATTATAAAACATATCATATATATTATTCTGAAATGGACCAATCTGCACAATGACTACTTTAACTGTCGCTACTTTAACTAGATTTTGATACTAAAGTACAGTACTTGAGTAAATGTACTTAGTTACTTTACACCTCTGGTAACTCTGGTAAGATTCTCCACTTCTCAAACGCTGGGTGGCGCCAGATGCATTCATTTTATTTCCGTAGGTGGAGACATCTTGGCCGTCCTTTGACTCACCGATGTGTACATTACTGTAACTGTCGCTCGTTTTGCGCCAATCAGCGGTCGGGAAGATTATGACGTCAGGGGACAAACACTTGTTGGGGTGTGTTCGTTGTCGCTTAGTAACCACCTTCGTTCAGTCGGTTAACGACTACTTTGTGTTATGTTAAGTGTTAAATAAACGTTATCTTAATGTTTATTTCGTTTTTTTATAATCACTAATAACACATATGTATTCTCTTTTTCTTCTGCCTTAAAAAATGTATTAAAAATATTTTTGTAATACGTTAGGTATAGATCCCAATTGTTTACAGGAGTAGCAGGTTAGCAAGGCATTACATGATACATAAACAAATATAAAACATAATAAACTGTTGATATATAGACATCAAAAGTACACATTTTCAAAATATATAAATAATGTAAAATATACAGAATACACTATAGCCAACCTACTACTAACACGAACTTTTTGTAATTACAATTGAAATTCAATGAGGAGAGAGTACACTATGTACAGGGTTATGGACACAACCGAGTGGAGTCTGGTTAGAACAAAACTTAGGAAACGATAACACATGGAATAAATAATAAAGACCAAATAAAATAAAAACCCTGCATCAATTATAATAATCATACATGTATACAAATATTTTTGCATAATACACTTTCCCGTTTGATAAGAAGCTAAATCATGCGCACAGTAATTGTAATGTATTATTTATAGAGGTTGTTTCTACATGCTGGTTTATGTAACAGGATTGAAATACTTATTTCTCGGAGGAGGAAAAGGACACAGACACCTGTCACCCCATAGGGGTAATTTAGTCTATGGAAAGTTGGGTCTTGTTCTTGACCTGAATACCTTTTTGTTTTGGCCTGCCTGGCACCAGTGAGGGTCAAAAGCTAAAAGGTAAACAAGCCTCTAAATCCCATCGGCTGCGTCGCTGGAAATTTCCACAGCGATGAGACTGCAGGATATGCGCTTCACAACAAACCTTTCACGAAAAAAAACCCACCTGACCCACAACGGCACGCAGGCCACGCCCACTTTCAGCGCACCCACTCATTTCCCAGCTTCCTATTGGCTTCTCCAAAGGTGTGCCACTCAAACTGACGTCACTAGCTGCATATGGAACAGCTGTGTTCGTCCGGTAATAATAGTTTATTGCATGTTAAAAACGCTAATCATCGCTGAAATTCTCAAAAATAATCACACAGTAAGTACAAAGTGCGAGAAAAAAGGAATGTGTGATGATAAGATGTTATTCTTAGGCCTCCTTTTCCCCAGCTCATGAATATTAAGTAGCTTTAGGCGCAATAAGACCAGCCTCCTGCAGCAGCGCGAACTCATTCAGCATCCAGCAGCTAAGAGCAACTTCTCACTCAGATTTCATCAGACAACGATCCGATTGATTAGGACTGGACGATTAGATTATTTAAAAACTAAAACATGGCTTTGAGAGGACCTTTATTCCGTCTTCTCAGACCTCAACTTGGCCAAACGTGCCAACAAAGCAGAGCTCAATCCGTCGCTGTGCTTGGAGCTCCTTTCTCAAGAGGACAGGTAAGAAAATCCTACTTACATTTTCAGTTTTTCAATCTTCATTTTCAGATCAACTTTACTCACTTAAATCCTTCCTGTTTTTCAATTTAAATCAGAAAAGGAGAGGCGTGGAGCACGGCCCTAAAGCCATCAGAGATGCTGGGCTCATCGACAGGCTCTCCGGGTTAGGTAGGTGCGGGAAACGGGGCACACAATTGTTATGTAACGGTGGATGGGTGTAACCTGCAGGACAGTTTTTAGACAGATTTACTGCCTTGCCTCCCTCCTCCAGCTTCTTACATCGCAGCGAGGCTGTAAATAAAAACATCCGAGGGGATTGAAAGCACCGAGCATGCATTAGAGAACAACGTGATCCCTCCTAATACCCTAAAGATCTGCGCAACATCCTTTCACGGATAGCGGTCTAATTAGAATAAAGACTACATGTGATTATCTCCTTTTGATGCATCACAAAGCTGGGGTTTAATGGGTGTCTGTGTGCATGTGGTGTCCCTGCAGAGCATGCACGAATTAAGATAATAGCCTCATTAAGAAAAAGTAATGGCGACAGCTTGATTCAGCCACTGAAAGCGGTGCCATAGAAGGGCATTAAGCCGTAAAGCAGCACCGGGTGAGACAGCACAGAGGACAGAGAGGACACTGTGGTAACCCTGCACCAGGCAGCTAATGTATTCTGCTTTCTCTCTGTTACCCGGGCTGGAGCCACATGTCTGCCTTAGTCATTCTTGCGCACATGCTCGGCTGCTTGAAGAGGCTGATGAGTTTCCACTGTGTCGTCACTGCAGACCCCCCCCCCCTTCTTAAACTACTTTAATACACGCTTCCTGTACAAAAGGAAGTGCTGCGGTTCCGCATGACAGAGGACACATCACTTGGAAAGAATCCGCAGTGTATTTTGGAGCTCAGGTCAATGAGTTTTCTTTGTGCTGGAAATACAACGCCCACACAAACAAAAGGAGACTTAGCATAGAGAGCAGTGATGTGAGAGGGAGGGATTTACTGCAGCACAGGAGGAGTTAAAGAAAACTCAGTGTGATAATAAGTTTATCAGCAGATCAGGATCCAGACAAGTCTCCTTCTGTGTACCGAGGACACAGAGTACTGTAGATAATATATGGTGTACAATAAATCGATAAGAAGCTACTGGTATATGGTAATGAACTGCGACTCACACTGTTGTACATTTTCGAGATGAAGTGATTATAGTTTTGTCTACAGAATGTCAGAACATTGTAAAAAATGTATCTATGTCCTGTTTTTCAAAACACCCAAAGATATATCCAGGTGGAGCTAACTTTCATGACTTTATACACTGCCAGGTTTTCATTTCAGTGTGTGCCTCAGGCAGATAGACATTTGAAGTATCATGAAACAGAAATACTCAAGTAAGGTACCTCGAAACTGTATTTAAAGAGGCCCTAGTCTACTTTTTGGGGGTTTCCCTCTCCTGTAGTGTGTTCTACTGGTTTTAGTGCATGTAAATGGTCTGCAGAGGCTAAAATACCTGTGTTCCCTCCCACCATTGGACTCCTTCGTTTACTTCCTGAGCATAGTGACATCAATATGGAACACTCGTGCTCCTCTTGGCTAGCGCTCCAACACATTGTACGTGATAGGCTAAGGGGCGGGACATCTCTAAGCGGTTGACCAATCACAACAGAGCCAATCAGAGCAGACTGGGACTTTAAGTCCAGTACTTGTATGTCAAAGTACTTTGTTACTTTGCATAAAAAATTACTTGATTAATCGATTATCACAAAACATGACATGTTACTTGCTTTTGTCCAAAGTGACTTACATACTCAATACTGTGGACAATCCCCACAGGAGCAATTTGGGGTGAATCGTCTCAGGGACACAACGACATGCTGACTGCAGTGAACCTGTGCCCCCCTGATCCCAACACCAACGCATTAGTCCACTGCGCCACAGCCTCCCCACAAAAGCTGAACAAATGAGCAATAAGTTGACAAATAATTGCAGCTCTTATTGTAATCACCAGCAATGTGTTTTGTATTGGTTTCTTATCATGAGAATGCCTGTTCTCAAAATGTGTGATTAAATGTAAAATATATATATTTTTTAATCAGTTGCACAACACACATCGAAGAGGTCACTTTGATGATGATGAGTCTCACACCTGTTGACTCAACATGAGATTAAAACAAGCTCCTCACGATAAGGCTGCTATAAATAAGCTCACTATACACAGACTAAGTATGAGTCAAACATTTAATTACAAAATTAAAGGTTGTTCTATAACTCAGTCTTACACAATATATTCTTCCTTCTCTTTCAAGACTTGCAAATAAAATCCCATTCTTGGCCATTTTCCACCCAAAAAACGACCTCTCTTATCTCCTTGAAGAGATAGAAGTATAACAAAAATAGTCTCTGTCTCACCGAGCTCACACAGCAAACAACATATGTCCTCCCCTGCAACGTTTATACAAATATAACAGAATTAAAAAGAGGTAAATTGCCAGTGATCCTTTCATTCTGTGGCTCTGGGTTTAATTTGATGATATAACAATCAGCGGTTTGATCCCTCTGCAGTCAACAAGTCAAAGTGTCCTTGACACTTAGCCTCACATTGCTCGTGCAGGCATGTCCAGGGTATTCAAGTGCATGTACGCCACTTTTAATAAAAGCCTCAGTTAACTGTAATGTAACTGATCCAATGTAAGCGTGGCAGCCTCAGATTTGTCGGGGAGCGTGTCGGGGTTTAAACATCAGATGTTGAGCAACAGGTGCCGTCCTCCCCATCCTCACAGCCAATCTGTTTAACAGCTGGGATATTATTTTATTTTTAACTGACTTGCCTTTATCCTTCCACACAGTATTACCATCGCGTATTAATGACTGCTTGCAGACCCTCTTTAATGTATTCCTGCAAATCCCAGCATTGCTTTTGCATATTTCTTACAATTTAATAGTATTTTTACTGGATTTGTATTCCCATTCTATATTCAAATGTTCTATTATTTTGAATGGGATAACCCACTTGGCACTAATCCAATAATTCAGATTTTTTTTTTGGTGCTGAACTATATCAAATATTCTCCGTAAAGATGAGAGAACTGCATGTGTATAAAATAAGATGTCTATGAATGTAACCTTCATAGACATGGATTAAAAATGTGTTAAAAATCTAATTATGAATAATCTATATTAAGGAAGCATTTAGGAACTCTTCAGACACTTGCAAAATGTATTTTTAAGCATTGAAAACCAAGAATTATAAACATTATTATATATTAGTGCTACTATCCTAATCTTATCCTTAGTTTTGCTTGTATTACGACACATATACACAAAACGTGTTATATTAAAAAAAAAGATTAATTTCAAGAAAAAAAGAGGAACATTTCCATCGCCTTCAAATATAAGGTTGCAGGGGGTAATTTTTCTTTCTAAAATTCTAAATCTAATGTCCATCTGAAGCCAGGAATTGTCGGGTTTGTCTTAACCCATAAGAACCCGGACACATTTCTACTTTTGGGAAAATTAAGGGGAACATAATTTAGACTAAATAGACCACATTTCTGACAAGTAATCAAATAGTGTCAAATATCTCAAATCTGGGCTTTAATGGTAAAATAACTCTTATTTATAACTTAAAGGTGGGGTAGGTAAGTTTGAGAAACCGGCTCGAGATACACTCTTTGTTATATTCCATGGAATGCTCTTAACATCCCGATAGCAATGAATATCTGAAGTGCTTTGACAAAAAATCCATGTAAAAAATGTCATCTGTGGAAGCCGTGGCGCTGTAAAGAGCACGACCAATCATCTGAGCCGGCCCGGCTAAAGTAACTGGATGGCCTACCTGCCTGTCAGCCTTCCATCTGTGCACAAACTTATCTCGTGCCCTCATTGGTCATGTGCGCGTTCGTGTGTGTTGGAGGAGGGGCTCTGTAAGGAAGTGGCAGATTTCTTCCGGCTATGTACTTTCAAATTGTAGCGCACTCCAGCTGGTTTCTCCATTCTTACCTACCCTACTTTTAAGAGCCTTGTAAAGTCCCAAATTCAACA